AAATATGTAATAGTTTATTCAAGTTCAGGTCAGATCATGTACTATTGGCTGAGCTGCCAACTTCCTCTAAAGGCATTTCTCTTAATTGCTCCTGATCTAACAAATCAATCCGTAGTCAAGAAGCTAACCCAAAACAATACTTTGACCGAGAAGAAAAAGTATAAATACCTTGACATTTTATAGCAATTGAAACACAACATTTCTTGGAGAAATAAAAACCTATACAAGTTCTAACGGACTTTCTCTGTGTTCTTACCTTTTCTCTTATTGAATATCTACTCTCTCTTCATCTCACAACATTCCCCACAAACAGGAAAATCAATGATTTTGAATGATATGACTTGCTTTTTAGAAAAATAAAATAAAAGTTGTTGACATTTCCAACAACATTGGCAAAAAAGTTACTTTTTCTTGTTTGTTTTGCAAACAATATTATTAAAGTCAAACTAATCCGCCATAGTGTAGGTTTGATTGATGTATGTTATAATATATTATATTTCTGTATCTTCTCTTACTTCTACAAATAGCATTGTTAGACGACTTGAAAGCTGGTGCTCATTAGACATAGCTTGCCGCCTATTGCTCTGTTACATTTAATGATCTACATTTCTACAGGTTACTGCGATCTCCACCATTGTCCTATAACAGCGTTGATAAGAGCATCCTTAGTGGACTTTCCAAAATGAAAAGTTTTTTACTTTAGATAGGTCAAAAATTTCTAGCGGACTTTCCATCAGACTTTCTAAAATGAAAAAAATAAAAATTTCCTCCAAAACTATCTAAAATATGTTGTATACACAGCATTATTCATCCCTTCTTACACTAGTTATGCCTTAAAAGAGCAAGTATTAATATCATGTATAAATATATCTTTCAATCACAGTTTTATCCGCAGCTTCGATGGATGTCTTCTATCTTAGTTTAAACATGTTAAAGATCAGACCATCACATAATCACACATTGACATCTGCATCAATACCAATGGTAGACAAGGTCTGTGCCCTGATCATGTACCCAGTTCTTGTGTACCTTAATCCATTCAACCGATTAGCTAGTGTATACACACTCAGTCCCAAATCAAGGATAATCAATTATCATACAAACAGTATAAATACAATACAAAATATAACCTTTAATAAAGAGGACTTCTTTTGGCCGTTTTGGTTCTAATCGACTTATTGATTTGACCATTTTATTAGTGATTATATCACAAAATAAAAAGTTTTCGGTAGACTTTTCAAAACTTTTTCCCTGAAAATTTAAAATTTCGTTGAGAGACCCAGGTGCACCAAAAAAGGCATGCCATATCCAAAGGTCTTGGGAGGCCACAGCTTCTAACACAACAGTAGCTTTCTTTTCCTTGCCCTTGTAGCTCCCGTGATGAGCCTTAGGGCAATTCTTCCATTCCCAGTGCATGCAGTCTAAAGATCCAAGCATTCCTGGGAACCCACGCTCCTTTCCTACCTCATACAAGCGTGCAATGTCTTCTTGATTTGGTCTTCTGAGGTATTCGTTCTTGAAGACTTCGACGATTGCTTTACAAAACTTCTTCATACAGTGTAAAGCAGTTGCTTCATTTACACGAAGGTACTCCGCCATGAAGTCTCCAGGGACAGCATATGCAAGCATGCGGAGAGCAGCAGTTACTTTTTGGTTAGTTGAATAACCAAGTTTTTGAGCCCTATCGCGAGATTGCACAAAAAAAGAGTCGTGTTGCATAACTGCTTCCTTGACTATTTCGTACGATCTACGACTCATTCTGAATCTGCGTCGAAATGTAGCTTCATCTTCGACGGGATCTTCGCGAAAGTAATCTCGCTGAAGATTCTCTTCTCCGAGATGACGAAAGTTCTCCTTGTTTCTTTTACGTTGTCGCTTCTTGGAGACATTGGTATCCTCTTCTTCATCAAGCTCCAACAATAAATCAAACAAAGCATCGTTTTGTCTCTTTCTTTGGATGAACCATTGAAGTGCAGCCATTGTAGTATTGTGATCCATGTTGATTTTAAAAAATTAATTTTATTTTAGAAAGTCCACTAAAAAAACAGACTTTCCAAATCATTTTTTTCTGAAAAAAAGTATAAATTTTAGAAAGTCTGATGAAAAGTCCGCTAAAGATGCTCTAATGTCACTTTGCGTTGGAAAAAGGTTTTCGATGTGACGGCCTATTTGTATTCTAGGAAGAATGCAAAACAATATGTTTTCAGCCGGGGTCGAACCGGCGATCTTCACTATGTGAAAGTGACGAGTTAAACCACTTCTCCATGAAAACGGGCCGACTTTGTCAAGTTAATATTTTTTTAAGTTTTGTATCCAATAACACAGGTCAGGTGACAATAGAATATTTTCTAGCCAATGATATTACTGGGAAAATATTCTAGAAGGCAGTGACGTCTGTGTTTTGATATTATAAGTCTTTGATCTTTTTTTATTTCTTTGTTATATGTTACCTGTGTTTTGATATTATAAGTCTTTGATAAGTAACTTATAATCATCAACAACACGGTATTTATATCTTTTCTATTCTATACTAAAATATCTATTCTATCACTAATAAAGCAGGAAGTAATTATATCCTTCAACTTGATTGATTACTTCTTTTTCGACGAATGCCACGCGAGCTTGGCGTCTCCTAAAGGCAACTTCCTTAAGCGTAATAGATTCAGTCTAACCTTCTTTCTTTTCTTGTTCGATATTTGAGGTTTAAACCTTCGCTTATTTGGATTGTAACTATAAGGAAGATTGTACTCAACTTCAATTGGTTGTTTTCGCTCTATGTCGCTTTTTTCTACGACAACTTTGTCATGTGTGCATGTTTGTTTTGGCTCGCTTCTTTGTTCTCTTTCGCGGTTTTTCTGGTGATTCTATCATGTTAACAAATCTTCAAATTGAAATGGTACATGTCTCTGATGTTCCTTAAAGTACATACAAAGTTTGGTGTGATTTGGTCTAAGTCTGATTGTACAATGGTGTTCCAAAGGTTTCGGCCAATGGTTCTGTCTTCTGTCAGACCCAATCAGATTCGAGTCAAAACCACTGATCGGTGTGTCAATTGTTGGGTCTGGGTCTCAATTGTTGTACTTTTTTTGGTTCCTTATTTGTCCTACTTCTTCCGTATTTTGTTTCATGATATTTTGCTGTGATTTAATTGTGTATTTTATTTTGTTTTATTTTGTTTATTGTATTTGACAGTTCATCTCAGTTTGAATCTGTTGAATTTTATAATTTAATTGTATTAATTGTTCTCCTGTTTGGCATTTCAAACGTGATTGTTTTTGGGCAAGTTTGATCTGTTCTAGATTAATGACAAGCAATTGTCTTTGTAGAAATTTATTCTAAAGAAAGTATAAAAGCTTAAAGAACTTTAGAAGGAATAAAAAATATCAAGAAATCAATCTTAAAAATCTTTTTATAAATTTATTTATATATATCTTCATTGTCTTTTGAAGGAACTGTGCCTAAGGTTATAATCTCTCTATTTGTGTCTATCTCTCTATAATTACAATAGTCTTTACAGTCTTCTGTTGTTAATTATTGGTTTATCTCTTTTATTTGTTGGTCTCGTCGTTCAAGGTAAACACAAAGGGAAAGAGAGGGAGTTGTCAACTTTGTCAAATTGATATTTTCCTAAGGTCTGTGGTTAATAGTACAGGTCAGGTGACTATAGAATATTTTCTAGCCAATGATATTACTGGGAAAATATTCTAGAAGGCAGTGACGTCTGTGTTTTGATAAAGTAAGTCTTAAGATCTTTATTATTTTTATATTTTTATATTACCTGTGTTTTGATAAAGTAAGTCTTAAGATGAAGAACTTACATCTATCAACAACACAGTATTTATATCTTTTCTATTCATACTAAAATATGTATTCTAAATCAAATAAAGAAGGAAGTAATTATATACTTCGTGTTGATTGATCCTTGTTTCTTGACGAATACGACAACAGCTTGGCTTTCGCTAAAGGCAATTTCCTTATACGAATCAGGTTCAGCTTTGACTTCTTTCTTCTATTGTTGGTTATCTGAGGTTTAAACCTTTTCTTGTTTGGTTTATACATATACGGAAGGTTATATTCAACCTCGATTGGCTGTCTTTGTTCAGAAACGCCATTATCCGCGACAACTTTTTGTAATTTTCGCGTCTTGTTACGGATGTTTATAGCTGCAATAAGATCACGTGACCAAGAAATACTATTTTAGGTTTACTCTTTAACTCTTGATTCTAAAGAAGTAGACCCAAAAAGGAAATTATTTAAACTAAGTAGTTTTTATCACTAATCAAAATTGAATACCTTTTATTCTTTAGATTATGTGGGTTATTTATATGTTTTCTAGTTATTTGTACTAGTACGTAATTAGTAATTGAAGACATGAAATATAAAATAATATGCTAAATATAATTGCTAATAATTAACTAATATCAATGTTTTGCTAAGTATCCTTTTTGGTTCTTTTTCTTCGTTCTTTGCTTCGTTTTATGTTAGGTGAGATGATCAAACAATAACTAAAAATTAAATCTTATTTATAATTTAATATGTTATTTTATAAAGTAAAAAATATTTGCTATAAATTTTTTGTTATTCTTTATATAATATTTTTTATCCTTAAAATAATCAATAATAATTTCTTTTTGTTTAAAATCAACTTCTTTTACCCAGGAATTTTCTTTTTCACTATAACCTTTCCATTTAACGTAAAACACATATTTTTTAGTTTCTATTTTATGATCTAATATTTCTTCAATTTCAAAAATATTTTCATCATGATTTACGTTTCTTATATCATATATATTTAAATTAATTGTTTTATTTTTAGATCGTCTTTTTCGTTTTTTAGAAATACTTTTATATTCTGGAAAATCTATTTCACTTTCGTTACCATTATCATTTTCAATATTTTCATCACTAACATTATCTTCATTATTATCTATTATCATACAATTACTATTTTCATCATCAATAATATCTAGATTTATTAATTCTGTTTGCAATTTATTTAATTCTTTTAACTTTTCAATCTGTTCCATTTGATTTGTATATACTATATCTATTAATCTAATATCACTAGGAAAATCAAAATTTTCGTTAACCCAAAGTTTATGTTGCTCTTGAACTATTATATTAAATTTATCTGAAAAATTTTGAATATTTTTTAATAAAAATGAAACTTTTAATTGCAAATTAATGTATTTTATGTCATCCGTTTTTAATATAGAATTGTTATTACTGAATCTTTTAAATTTATTATATAAATCTTTAAATTGATTTTCCACAGTAGATCTGAAACTACCAAATACTTTGTTATAGTGTTCTTCTTGAACATTTAATGGAATACCATTTTCTTTTCTTATTGGATAGAAAAAATTTTTATCACATAATTTAATATTTCTATTCTTACATAAGTTCTCAAATTGTTTGATGAATAATGTATACCCTCCATCTAATGCAACACAGTCATGTTCTTTTATCTTTTTATATAATTTCATGTTTAAAAACATTCCTCCGTCACTGCTACAACCACAAAGTTCACTATCAGAAACATTTATAATCATTTCATTTATATCTACTAATATTTGTGTTCTAATTCTAGAAGTTTTTAATTTATATGACCATTTTTTCTGTGATGAAATATCTGGTTTGTCATATTCTATGGCTGTATCGTGGCCGTCAAGAATTAAAGTTATATTTTTAAAATTCTTTGGGTTTTTAATTAAACTTGATAAAACTCTAATTTTTATGTTACTAAACATATTTATTAAGCAATAATCCACGAATTTATTTAATTTTTCATAATTTTTAATCCAAAATTCTTTATAAATTGTATAAAAAGTTGAATATGGTATATATTTCTTAATATTTTTTGAAGTAAAACCAGATGTCAATTGATATAATAATAATAAAGCTTTTTCAACTTCTAAATAAGGACCAGGGTATTCCTTATGTGTATATAAAACTGTAATAAAGAAGAATACAGAAATATACCCTAATTTATTTAATAACTCATCTTTAATTTCATTAATATTTTTAACATTTTTTAGCTCTGTTCTATGTTTATATTTGTTTTCTACTTTTTCCAATCTTGTCCTAAAAAACTCCATTGTTCTAATATTAATTTATTTATTTCAATTTTTAATTTTTTTCTGTATTTTATAATATTTTCATCATTTTTATTTGCATAATTATCCATAATATCTAAGTCGATGTCCATATTTGAATAGTGTTATTATATAATATTGTTTGCATATTTTTATTTATATATAAATTCAATTTTTATTAAAAGTATAAATATTAAAAAATTATTTCTATAAAAGCTACAATTTAAAGATCTTACATATGTTGTCGGAGTTTTAAATGTAGTTATTGTCATATTAATCACTGTGTGATTCTGCATAGTTACAAATTTTCTGTTAATAATTTTAAATCTCAGATTTTTATGAAAATATATAAACAAATTTATTTATATTTAATTTACATCTCTTTAAACAAGACTAATATATATATATTGTTATTGTATAAATAATAACAAAGATAAAAAAATGACAAATTAACTTTTTAATATAACATAATGTATTATATTATTTAATGAAAGAATATATTTATCATATATTATTAACATAATATTTAATTATTAGATTTATTCATAAGTATAACTTAATTATAATATCTGATAGATACTGTTTGGTCTTCTGAGAACCTTCTTCTTTTCTTTGCGTTTGCTTCTTTTCGGAATTTCATTTCTAGTTCTAGCGGCAGTTCTTGCATGAGTTGTGTATTACTTGCAATGTGCTTCGTAACCAAATTCGACTCGACATTATCCCCTCCAAGCTTTGTGTTCGTCTCTGAACACGGGGAAAGCTTACATCCCTCATCACTTCGGTTTCAACTGCAGTATCATTCAGCATCGACTTGATCTCAACGTTATTTTGCGAGCGAAGGCCGTTCCTTTTAACTTCTTCATCCGTAGGAGTAGATAGATTGGCATTTGTCGACGTGGAAGCAACTTCTCTTATACCAAAAGTATTGGTTTGATCTTCGACAGTGGTTTCAACATCAACACTAAAATCTACATCATCAATAGGATCACCATCATCCACACCAATGGCATCATTAACACCACTAACATCATCATCAATACCCATTTTTTGATTAACCTCAAGATCTTCAGCCGCACTAGCCTTTTCATGTAGATTGATTTTCGGTTCTTCTAACACCGCATCTTTCCCAGCAGTTTCAATCATAGCATCTTCAATGACAGGGTCGATATGATCTACGGGGTCTAAAGGAGTGAAGTTGGATTCGACTTCCGTAGGACTGGCTTGTCTGTGTATCTCCGTATGGCCTGCTTCTATTTCTTGTATGGCATCATTATAAGCTCGTCTAGCAGTAGTGGGATTGTACCATGGTTCTAAGGGTCGTTCGCCTTTTGCGGTCTTGAGTCGGTCAACATGCACTAGAGACTTGAGAGGTTCACCTGTTAACGTTTGCAATTGATAGGTACCATAGTCAGGAAAACTCTTGACAACTATATAAGGGCCTTTGAATCTGGGCTCCAATCCGAAACGTCCTTCATTTGTCAGCATTACCATGTCACCAGCTTCAAACGTCACCTTTTTGATTGCCGCGTCCCATTTTTGTTTATCTTTTTCTGCCATCGCTTTTAATCTAAATTCGGCGGCTGCACGATGTTGATTCAGTTTGTCAAGTTCACGCGAAGTAATGTCGGCCACCGTTCTTGGATCAGCAAACGTATTTTTGTCAATATAAGGTCTCAAGGTATCCCCGGGTAGGGTTGGCTCACGACCATAAGTTAGATAGTACGGACTATATCCTGTAGTAGTGTGAACCCGTATGCGACATGCCCACAATGCTGCATGCACAAAGTCGTCCCAACGATGTAATGCCCCATTTGTATACTTGCGTAGCATTTGTTTTATCACCCCATTGAATCTCTCCGCTTTACCGTTTGTTCGTGGATGATACGCCGAAGTCAACCTGTGGTTTGTACCAACTTTTTTTAAGTATGCTCTTACCAATTCACTAGTAAAGTTTGCACCCCTGTCAGTCACCAGTTCAGACATAACACCAAAGTTCAGCACCAGTTCTTCATAGATAAAATCCACGACGGCTTCTTTTGACGCTACTGGTACTGCTTTTGCTACAGGCCAGTTTGTTGCGTAATCTACCGCAACTAAGAGCCACCTATTCCCACGTACCGTCTTTGGTAGATCCAAGAAATCGAGATGCCACCGGTCAAATGCCTTGGGTATTTTCAGCGGATGCATTTCATCATGGTGAGTTCTGTCTTTTCTACTGTTTACTTGACACGATGGGCATACACTAATCCAATTTTGAATATCAATCCTCAAAGAAGGCCACCAGAATCGAGGGATCATCATTTTCAACATGGACTTGAAACCAGCATGGCCAAAAGCATTGTGATATTTTGACACCACATCTGCACGTTGAGAGAAAGGCAAAAAGGGTACCATTTTGCTAGTTTTATCTTCATCAATGATTACCTTACGAAAAACTCTATCAGCAGTGATATGAAAGTGTTTCTCTTCTCTCTCCAATATCCTTTTCACTTCTGTTGATTTTACCTTTGCTCTATTTTTAGGAACTAATAAGAGGGGCCAGTCAGATCGTAGTGTAGGAGGTAAGGTACTCCAAGCAGCATATAGGTATTCAGGTTCCATGGACTCAGAGGCAGGTTTGACCAAAGGGGAATCAAAGTTCATTCTAGACAGAATATCCGGAATTTGATTTTCTTTTCCAGGTTTGTAAATGATCGTGGGATCATAAAGCTCTAATTCCGAGATCCATCTTGTCAATCTACTAGGTGGTTTTTCTTTACTCCTATAATAAACGAGAGGTTGATGGTCGGTAGCAATCACGTAACCTTTTGAACCTTCTACGAAACATCTCCAAGTTCTTAATGCATGTAGTATACCTAATAATTCTCTTTCTTGCGTGGGATATTTACGTTCTGCTTCAGAGAATTTCTTCGATTCAAATGCAATGGGTCTCCAAGGTTTTGATGAATCTTGAGCATCTGGTTGAAGGAGTACTGCACCACACCCACGATCACTTGCATCAACTTCAATCCTAAAGGGTTGGGACATATTGACTACTTGTAGGACAGGATTTGAAGATAATAATTTTTTCAGTGTATCAAAACTTTTTTGGCAATCATTAGTCCATTCAATAGGTCTTTTTTTGATTCCTGTGCCCCTTGTCAAATCAGTTAAGGGAGCTGCAATTGACGCAAAGTTGGGAATTAGCCTTTTGTAGAATTGAGAGAATCCTATAAACTGTCGCACTTCCTGAACATTTGTCATTCGGGGCCATTCCTGGATTGCTTTTACTTTATCTGGGCTTGCGGAGATACCTGCTGCTGATATCTTATACCCAACAAAAGTTAGTTCCGTTTTACCTAATTCAGTTTTTTTGACATTTGCCACTAGTTTCGCCTCTCGCATTGCTTCTAGTACTTCACGCACATGCTGCTTGTGATCTTCCATTGTCTTGCTAAAAATTAATATATCATCCAGATATACCAATACGGTCTTGTCAATGAATTTTGCTAACACCTTGTTCATGAGGGCTTGAAACACGGGAGGTGAGTTGCTTAATCTCATAGGTAGTACCAACCAAGAGTATTGTCCATAACGGGTATTGAAGGCTGTCTTTTCAACATCTTTAGGAGCTATTCTAATTTGATGATAGCCACTCTTTAAATCAATTTTTGAGAAATACCGTGCACCTGCTAATCTTTCTAGGCACTCGTCTAATCTTGGTAGTGACATACTATTTTTGATTGTGTGCTTATTTAGCATTCTGTAATCAATACACATGCGTAGAGCGCCAGGTTTTGTTGATCCGGGATCAGGTTTCTTTCTGATAAATAAAATAGGTGCTCCCCAAGGTGATGTACTCTCTTTGATTAGTCCTAGTTGTAGGAGTTCTTTCAATTGTTTCTTCAATTCATCTAACTCTAATGGACTCATCTTATACGGAGGACGTGATATAAGTTTGGTATCACCGACATTAATAATATGGTTAATGCCACGATCTGGAGGTAGCCCTGGTAATTCATCTATGAATACCGTGTCAAATTCTTGCATCACTTTGTCCCAATAAGTCTCATCCATAAGCCTTGGTGTCTTGTCTTGAGTATTCTCTTGGGGCTTGATGAAAAACAAGAAGCTATCTGCTCCTTTTTTAATCGCTCTATCCGCTTGTTTATGGGTTATCAGGTAGTTTAGCTTTGGTAGGGCTGTAGAGCATTGGGTAGTATCTATACAAGGTTTTAATTGTATTTGCCCATTTGCTAGATACCAAGTGTCTGTAGTCCAATCGGGAAGAGGTTGCGTCCGTTTTAACCATGTTCGTCCAAGGATCATATCAAATTTTGTTGGGAACACATAAGCCATAACCTTGTCTTGATAACCATTTAGATGTAGTGTCATCTCAACTTGATGCTTGATCTGGGAAATATCACCACTTGCCGTCTCTACTTGTCGGTCCAATACAGGTTTCAGCTTACTTTGAGGTTCATTTTTTATTACATGTGGTGACACGTAATTTTCACTAGCTCCCGAATCAATCAATCAATACTTTTAAATTTTTACCCTTATAGTCGACAGAATAAAGAGGCAATGAAGTTGCAATTGCATTTAACTCAGCCAAGTGTTTGATATCATCTGGTATATTCTTAGGATAGTGAGTGGGTAGGAGTTCTGTCGTAGTCTTGGGCTTGACAATTCGATTATTTTTGACGCCACAATCTTTTGTGCTTAGAGTAGGGTATTGTTTATCACCTAAAATAACAGAAGAGTAAGGATCCAAATCAATCAAATTTTTATTTTCAGGAATATTTTGATCATAATGTAGTTGAACTTCCTGGTCTTCAACTACATTCACTGAAAATCCTTTTTTTGTCTTCTGGCATTTTGTTCGTCGAGTTTTTTAATATCGGCAAGTCTAATTCTGCAATTTCTTTTCAAATGTCCAGTTTTCTGACAATAAAAACATTCTCTTCGGTTGTTGTTTGACATGGATCTGTTGTTTCTTCTAAAGCTATAATCTTGTCGATTTCTTTGACGTTGATCCATAACATCTAATTCCATGGGGTCGTCCATGCGTGATTTGCTTGGCATTTTTCTTTCTTGAAAGTCATCTTCTTGTTGGGCACTGTCATATGATAAAGCGGAATGTATGGCGTTTTTTAACGTGTCTGCTTCGTACTGTCTGATGTGAGCACGCATGCCTTTCAATGCTAATCCACGGACAAATTTGTCGGTTGCTTCTTCATCAGTCATAGTTGGGATAGCCAATTTAATATCCATAAATGCGTTAATGTAATCGACTAGATTTCCTGTTTGCTTTAATGCGGCTAGTTTATCTCTGGCAATTCGGTTAGAGTTGTCTGGTCTAAAGAAGTCGATGAGTAAACGTTTGAATTCTAGCCATGTAGTGGGTGCTTCATTTGTTCCTTCTAAAGTTCTGAACCAAGCGTCCGCCCTTTCACGTAAGAGAGTAGTTGCAAATAGACATGTTCTTTCCGTTGACCAATCGTAAAAAGTTGAATAGCGTTCTACTGCCCGGATCCACCCATCAATTATTAGTGCATCTCTTGTACCATCATAAGTATTCGGCTCTTTGACTCGTCCTTGCTTATTTTCCCCAAAGTAAGTCATGAACTGTTTCATGAACTCTCCCATAGATATTTCTTCTTGTCTTGTCGTTGGCGTTTTACTGCCAGAACCCATTTCCTTTTCGTTACCTTTTTCCATGTTGGACTCTTATCAAATCTTGTCGACGCGCTGATGCTACCAATGTAATTTTCGCGTCTTGTTACGGATGTTTATAGCTGCAATAAGATCACGTGACCAAGAAATACTATTTTAGGTTTACTCTTTAACTCTTGATTCTAAAGAAGTAGACCCAAAAAGGAAATTATTTAAACTAAGTAGTTTTTATCACTAATCAAAAATTGAATACCTTTTATTCTTTAGATTATGTGGGTTATTTATATGTTTTCTAGTTATTTGTACTAGTACGTAATTAGTAATTGAAGACATGAAATATAAAATAATATGCTAAATATAATTGCTAATAATTAACTAATATCAATGTTTTGCTAAGTATCCTTTTTGGTTCTTTTTCTTCGTTCTTTGCTTCGTTTTATGTTAGGTGAGAACCTTCTTCTTTTCTTTGCGTTTGCTTCTTTTCGGAA